ACATTTGTAGGATCATGTATATTGTGGCAATCATGAGTTTGTAATGACTCATATAATGGTGGAGTCAGTGAAACACACATGTCTTTGTCATGATAAACAATCAGGCATTTTGGTTAATTCATAGATTTACTACAGGTCTTCTACAAATATGACATACATAGACTTATCTATTTTATTATACAGCAAATCTTTTCACATTGTACAACCTATGGATGACCAAAAGACTTTCTCTTAAAGAAGTGCAACAAAATTCAGAACATTTCTGATGTGTCTGCCACTCTGTGGTTGATTCTGAATATCACGGCATTCAATAACAATGTGTGTAGAAGTCACACTGGTTTAAGTGAGATTACAACTCCTTAAAAATAGAAGAGAACCAGTGGAAACTACATCAAAAACAATGACATATTCTTTTGGTAAGGCTGTAACACCTTACATTTTTATGGAATTTTGAATATGACAATAACATCCATTCATCCATCCATTATCTATACACCACTCAATCCTCACTAGGCTCACGGGGGGCTGCAGTCTATCCCAGCCAGAAAATGGATGGATGGAAGATTCAACACCACTGATCAATGTTTCGACTGTGTGACAGTTCATGTGCTGAAATGTAAAAATTGCAAAAAATGGTTTTCTGTTCTGATCAATCCTGTCTCTGTTGTTGCTGCTGTAAGTGTGTAAATGTGTGCAGCTGTTGCTTCTGAGACGCTTACATTGATTATGTTGCTGCCTGATGCTGCAGGTATTCAATAAACTCAGAAGAAACCAATAAAAGTACTTGTTCTGCCCTCACTAAACCCACATAAGCATGGACGGTGCAGGGAAGAAATGATCTATAGAAAATTCATCTGTCACTGACAACATCTGAGTGCTCGCTGGGTATTTTCAGTTAAACGCTCAAATAGGATATATGCAATTCTTTCCTGACCTTTACCAGTTTGCTAAAACGTATAAACACTGAAATTTATACGGGAGTGGTCACCTGAACAACTCATCAAAATGCAAATGAAACACAAGTCCAAATTTACCTATTAAAAATGGGGATGTGTTGTTTCCAAGTAATGTACACTGTAAAAAAAAAAAAAAAAAAAAAGAAGTTGCATCATTATTATCATTTTTCATGTAAGCCATTGCTGCCTATAAAACTTACTTTGCTCTTCTGTCAGTTCAAAAAGGCCATTTAACAGCAAAGCGGAAATGAAAGTATCTTGATCATTCTCTTCAGTGAAGGAAGTCATACACACTTGAGATCTGTGTGCTGAACGACGCTTTGATAGATTATATTTTTGCAAAATGACATCGATGGACAATACCATACTGGGTTTACTAATGGTGCTCGTGTCGCTTCAAAGTCAGTTCACACGCTACATGGAAATTCAGCCGAGCCTAATGCAGGTACGATGCATTTTCACGTTTATGCTCACACACACACACACACACACACNTCTTAAAAACTTATTTTACAGATTTTCCCAATTTTGTAAAATTACAGGTCATATGTAGTACAACCACAGAAGAAAGTATTCATTGACTGTAAAAACAAACAAAAAAAAAACCCCAAAAAAACTATAAATAATATCTATATCAAAAATCTGTACTACAAATAATAATTTGTTAACTGTTTGATAACATTGTAATCAGCTAGAATTATTATTACAAATAGGTTGCTTGAATTTCTGAGTTGTTCTTACAGTTTATTGTACTTTTTTTCTTCTTCTTACACCATGCACTGCAACAATAGTGTGTCCTGTTCTTCCGTTTTTTCAAATTTTGTAAGCTCTCCTGAGGTCACACACTACAGCAGAGTTGTCAGCTAAATCTGTGGTTAAGCCTCAGGGGATAAACTGTTTCCAGACCTGTGTTGCCATTGAAATGCAGAAGCCTGATGGTCAGACTTTGTATTGTTTTTACCTAAACATTTGTTTTTTTGTTTTTTTTTTAGACTTTTAGGCTTTAAGGCTTTCTATAATTTTGTGTGAAATTTGTTTGGATACTATGAGAACGTTAGACAGGGCCTGAAATTTGGCGTCTCCTGCCAAATGCTTCAGCGTTAAACCCTGATCACAGTTTTAGGAGATTAAATGACAGGTTCTAGACTTTGAATTATGAATGGATTATCTGCCTCTCTCAGAGGTCCATGAAACTGCTTTAACAATGTAACCCATAGCTGTGTAGGGTAGAAAATAAGATATACTTATTTCCACACCAAAGCAAGTGATTGCATTAATTAAAATTATTAAAACCAACCTCTGAATTATTCGTCCAGTGATATAATCTCAGAGTCAGCATAATAATTCTAATAAATTGTTTACTCTTGGTGATCAGTCAAGAGTGTTTTATAAAGTTAAGCAGCGCCCCACATTTGAGAACCAGGTAAAAACCATTTTATTTTTATTCCACTTTTTTTGTATGTGATGAAACGTGTAACATTATTCTCAACTGTAGGCAACTTTTGGAGATCTTGTCTGCAGCAGCTTCATGAGGAAGCCCCCCACTTTGGGGACTATTTATTCTTATTCCACTCCCTTTTTTTTTTTTTTTTTTAACTTGGTAAAATGTGATTGGATGTCTTTATAATCGCTGTAATCTCTGTAAAATCTTTTTTCACAGTGCTTTCATGTGTACTCACTGACTGATTGGAAAACATGTTTGACTGACAAATTTTCTAGGTTTTATTACAGTTGAAACCAGAAGTTTACATACACGGTACACTGTACACACGACATGAAACCTTTTTTTCTCCTCACTGTCTGACATTAAATCAGACTAAATGTTTACTGTTTTGGTCAATTAGGATTATCAAAAGTTTAGTCACATTTAGTATCAGATAGTGAGTAAAAATAAATAAATAAATGGTAATGTGTCTTTTTTATAGTGTATGTAAACTTCTGGTTTCAACTGTAAGTCATCATTATTCATGTGAGAAAGAGTCAGGGAAATACTGTTCCATAAAGGATTTTCAGAATGCTACACTCAGCATGTAAAATTTCACATGCTAGCATGCTAAAATGGCATTTTTCTCAACTGTAGGCAATTTTAGACTGTTGGTTCAAAGTGCAATAGTATGAGTCTGCACCCTCAGGACCCCACTGTTAGGACCACATTCCTAAGGTGGCATGTTTCTTCTAGGGCTGAAAGGCTGCATGCTTCCTTTCCCCCTTCTTTTAGACAGTGCGCGCGCACACACACACACACACACACACACACACACACACACACACACACACACACACACACACACACACACACACGCACCACACACACGCACCACACACACGCACC